ATTGTAATTAATTTAAAGTTAATTTTTAACATTTTTATAAAATAATTTAAAAATTATATTTGATGTACTTTCTATGCAGAAGAAATCCACTAACATATTATAAATTAGGGGTTAAAAACAAAATAATTACACTTTTAGCATCAGGGAACTGGAACCTGTGTCTTCTCCACCGAACGCAAGATAACGGACCAGTAAACCACTGCTTGCGTTGTGCCAGATTTGAACATAATATTATATTTATTCATATTTAATTGATTCGATGGTTTGAACAATTTAACCAATTAAACCGATCGAATTGAGAACCGGAGGTCAAAACGGTTTGACCTCCGATTCGATTTTCAAAACACTGGCAATAAGGGTTCGATCTGCAAGTTAGGGGTAGCAGGCGACCCATGGTGGGTTTGTACAGTGTCATTTTACTCTTGAGGAGGATATTGTTGTGGCTTAGGTTGTTCTTCTTGGTTGCATGGCTTTTTTTCAATATTTGTTGTTTGAATTCAATTTGATGTCTTTGGGTTTTTTTTTTTTTTTGGTAGAATCATATATGGGTGCTGTGGTGTTAATTGCTTTGAAGGAGTTATTCCTTGAATTTGTTTTAGCCATCTTCTAATCTCCATTCTCTGATTTAATTGTTTAAAAATCAAATCCTAATTTGTTAGGTCTTCAAAGTTTAGGAATGGAGATTGTTAGGAACCTCAATTTAGGATTCCAGGTTATATATTTGTAAGAGAGAGCAGTATGAATTCTGGAAGTTCAAGATTGTTAGAGTCGAGGATCTTTGTATGGTAAGTAATTTTAATTCTGGGTTTCCTTTCTCCGAGTAAAAGGCAAAATGGATAGCTTAGTTGCTTTCTGGGAAAATAACTCGCCATCAAAGGATGAAATGATGCAATCCATCAAGGAATTTTATCACCCAAGGGATCCTACTAGCATTCACAAACATGACACAGTATATGGTATGGTATTTGCCTCAAACTAACATACCATAACACTGCTTTGCTTTGTTTCTTTTACCAGCTACTTTTTTTTCTTTCTTACCTTGATTCTTCCGGCAAATGGGGATGAGTTGCAACTGGAACAGTCGTGTAACTGGAAGAAGCTTGCAACTGGAAGAAGAGGGAAGGAACAGTCATGTTACAGAGGTGGGGATCAACGTGTTAGAAACAGAGAAGGGAATAGAGGATCAAAGTGCTAAAAAAGAATCAGTAAGCGCGAAGGGAAAAGGAGATTGGGCGCCTATTTTCAGATAAAATGAGGAACGACGCCGTTTTAGAGGTGTGGACTGTAAATTTTTTTTACACACCGTATTGAAATACAGTTTTCTGATGTTAAATTTTTAGACAATTTTACTTTGGACAACAACCCAAATTGCCTATTTCTAACACGTGCATCTGCCACCACAACAGTCATCCCACACCCCTCAACGTATTTTGACGGTGTTGGTGATCTCCCTCCCCCCAATTTAACCCTTTTTTTAAAACATAAAATTGAATAAAATCTTTTTGAATTTTGTATTATTTCCTTCTTTTGATCCATTTTTTTTGTGGAGCTTGATCTATCTTCAATTTTTTATCTCCAAGAATCCAGTTTAGATCGGATTTAGATGGCGGCCATGAGACGGTTGCACGACCTTCAATTTCAACCACGAAACAAGTTTTGCATTGACTGTGCCTAAAAGAATCCGCAATGGGCTTTCATCTCCTATGGCATCTTCATGTGTTTGGAGTGCTTCGACAAGCACCATGGTCTTGACGTCCATATTTCTTTCGTCAGAAATGTTACCATGTACTCTTGGTTTCGACGAAGGTGGAGCAAGGAGATCAGGCTGCTTTGTTGTGGTTGTTCGACGAAGGAGATGAGGTGGTGATTGGTGAGCTGTTGACGGAGGTGGAGCAAGCCAGCAGGGATGAGGGAGAACTGGAGACAAAGAGGGATGTCATTTTTAATTTTGTTTTTCCCAGAGAATTTTTCCTTTTCTTTTTTTTGAACAAGTGTAATAGACGGATTGAACCGTTGACTGAAGAGAAAAAAAAAAAAGTGAACCTTTATAAGAGTGACGGAGGTCATTTAACGCTACGGGTCAAGTTTTCCTTTTTTTTTTGTTTTTACCTCATGATTACAGTTTTTTTTAATCTAATTTTAGTTTAAGTTTAAGGTTTTTAATGTAATAATATTAAAAAAAAGAGATAAAATGGATAAATTACATTAAAAATATAAAAAAAAGTAAATAAAAAAGATAACAAATTTTGCTCGGCAAGTGGAGCGGGTTGGGCGGTTGGAGCGGGTCAAACAGTCTTGGGCGGGTCAACTCTCAAAACGGGCTGAAGCATGCACTTGGCCCGTTTTTAAGCCTGGGTCTGGTTGAATTGGTCCAACCGACTGGGCCGGGTCAAGCCTTAAAACAATGTTTGTATCTGAAAGCTGAATGACATTGATTCTTTTGAGCCTATATATATGGCATCTAATTCCCTCTCAAGTAAGGTCCGAAAGGGATCACCAGCAGGTATATCCAATTTGCCTAGCACCATCATTCCCCTTGTAGCCAGCACAAGTCTTTAACTCAGAATAATGCATTCTTTCTGGATTTGGAAGGGGATAGAACGCTAAGTATTGGACTTCAGTTCAGCAATCTATGTTACGTCAACTCGTTCAGTAAGGGCTTTTCGAAGTTTCATTCAGCAAACAATCAAAGAAACTGAAAATCATGATTACATGATAAATTCAAGTTGTGCAAGTTCAACATGCTCAAGAGCACGTTGAAAACGATGTATTATTTCCATTCCCAGTAAAGAATGTGAGAGATGCATTCATCGGCATAGAGATCATAAATACCAAAGAAGTCTGAATTAAGAGTCAAAGAATGTTGAAAATAAGAGGGAATTTATCTCGAACGTAGGTAATGAAGTAGCAAAACGTAGCACATCATTATTGAACAGCCAGCTTAGTTCACATGATATTTCACCCAAAGGGCCAAAGACAACATGATGAAACAGCATAGACTTGCATGCAGTATAAAATTATGAGCCAAGTTGAAAAATATAGCCCAATAAATTAATGAGAAACTGGAGATTTCAAAAAAAATATATAGAAGCAGTACAATAAGTTATGCACATAAAAGATATCGATGATAAGAAAGAGACGTTCGATCAAGAAGACCTGCAAAGGGTTTATCTTCCCCAACAAACGACACATCAAGTAACCTGTCAGATGAAGTGTTTTCAGCTATCCCCAGAATCTGGAAATTTCATTGTCCCTGGTTTTGTTATTAACATGAGGATGAGATGCTTTGCGACCATATTCAGAAGCATTTAAGTGTACAACATTCTCACATGATGCTCCTCAGATGTTTGAGACTCTGTGTTATTACTGTCACTTACCATGGACAAACTTTTCTTTAATTCACTGCAATCTATTCCAGAAACCTTGCTGTCAGAATGTCCCCTTTGAGCTTGGAAGTTCATTACAAATGACTGGAACAAACACCATAGAGGTACTCTCCAACGCCTTTGTCAATGGTAGATGACAATTTTTCCTCTTCAAATCTTCATCAGCATTTGCCACTCAAGATCTCTTTCTTTTTCAATGATGAGGAGCAACCCCTACTACAATTCATGGCATTTACATTAGGAAGGCAGTTGCCCGTTTTTGAATCATGCGTTGAAGCATTAACTTGTTGAACATGCTCCAGCACTGCCTGAGCCTGGACCTTTATTTTTGACACCACACCCATGCCCAGCTCCTCGAGTCCTCTCATTCGCTTGGTTCCTCCAGTTCCATCATCATCCGAGTCATTCAGGGTTCTTCTCCTCTTTTCCTGTACAACTTGCATCCTTGAAGCACCTAAGTGATTAAGCACTTCAAAAGATACACTAGATAGTGATAAAACCAGGGGCAGAACCTGAATCATTTCAGATTCACTCCCTTTGTCACTCATATCCTCTTTTTCTTTTCCAGAATGTGACATGCTATGTGATTCTCGGGCAGAACCATTATCCCCACCACTCAAAGTGTCTCTTTTAGAGAAATAATCTGGATGATCCTTCCCTAGCCATGCACTCTCACTCTCAAAAGCATGAAGAATCACGTCTTCCCTGCGAACATTTTTCACTGCTTTCTTATTAGAACTTGTTGGAGCTGTGATGCTCTAAACTTCCACGGGCTCATGGCAAAGAATGTTTGGTGGAGATGATGGCAAAGGAAAACTGAGCAACTCACGGGAAAGCTCAGCAAAGCTCCAAAAATTTGTTGAAGCAGCAAATCCAAGCAAGATGAAGCTGCAACATTGAAGGAGGAGCTGATTTGCTAAAGGAGATGCTTTAGCAACAAAAACAAACCAAACCAAAGCATAAAGAACTGCAAAATGGCAGATTCCAAATGCTTGGTTAATGTCATGTTATCCTCAGCTTTAACACCAAGGAGGAGTGTTGGAGCTGTGGTGTCAAAGTTGCACAAGAGGCAGCAAATGGAAAGAAAGCTGCACAGGTGGCAGCAAAATGAAATGAAGGGAGAGCTGCACCAAAGCACGGTAGCAACAAAGTGCAGCAAACTATGCTGCAAATGTTGATGAAATGAGGCTGTAATGAAATGGAAATGAAATGCAAATGAGGCTGCAAAGTAGCAGCAAGAACAGCCACATGGAGCCACACAAATGGAAGCCAGTCTTTTAATGTAATCTTGCATTAAATGTATTAGATAAGTATGAAAATTACTGTTGATGTATTGAGATATTTCTGCTATATAATAGCAGAACATGAATGAGAGAAAATGAGTTTTCACCTCACCAAAGAGGGAACTCCACCGATGCTTCTCCCTTCTCCTCCAAGTCCCTTCCTTTTCTCATAAATTCCCAACAGAACTTGCTGTGAAGGCCTTTGCTTTCTCAATGCATTAATCATACTCCCCAAAATGAAATGCCTTCACCCTCTTAGACTTTTCAAGATTATACCAGCCTATAATGCTGAAAGAAATTAGAATCAGCCAACAGAGTCCGATAATAAAAATCACATATCTAAATATCAATTAAGAAAAGAAACAAATATATTTATGAAGACCACCTAATCATCAATTAACATGTCAAAAAGTTTAATCAAGTTCCAGATTTACCAGTTCTTTTGAAAATTTACTGGATTCATCAACAAGAGAAGGCCAAACTCTCATCCTCAAGCATTCTTTCCAGAAAGTATGAGAAGAACCAACTAATAAACTAATAACTACAAGTAAAACCGTCGAAACAAGGTTCTATATACAGAAGTTAAGGGAAAATAAACTCGTAAGATTTTAAACAAAACAAAACTCACATGCTTGCATCCTTGCAGCCTAGAAGCTTAACGGTTGCACTGGATCTCAGAGAAACCAAGCAACCCTCAGAGAGCTCATCAAGGCCACAATCCAACCCAGCCACCATGAAAGCGGGAGACATAAACCAACCCACATAACCAACCCACGCATCAATGCCCTTACTCTTTGGCTCAGCAGAACTCCCCATCACAGGCCACAAAAATCCACCACCCTCACCCCCTCCCAAAAAAAAAAAAAGAAAAAAAAAAGGAGAAATGAGAAAGACAACAGTCTAATCATCAGTCCGAAATGCAAAACTTAGCATACAAGTCTCTAAAATCCCCACAAAACTCAACTCCTTAAGTAATGTATATGCTCCTTTAACCAAAAACAAGGAAAATCAAAAGAATCAGTGACAAAACCCTCAATCCTGCATGCGATGAAAAACCTGCAAAAGAAACATCATAAAAAAACCCAAACCCCAAGAATGACAGGATTGATAATCATGACTGAACATTCCAGGTTGGAGATAAACCCCACGAAAACAGACACAGAAAAACGCAAAAAAAAAAAAAAAAAAAAAAAAAGAATCTGCTTCTATAGGAGTCACACAACTATAAAAAAATCTTGTAAGTAATACCCTCATTTATACACACATGCATTCTGATAACAGGAGCCTGCCTGATGCCTAATAATCAATGGTAAGCTTCCCAAGAACTGCAAGTGCCCAACATATAACAATTTCCTCAGCCATGTCCATCATACTTTCATAGTTTGAATATAATTCATACCTCTAAAATCATGCCAATGGTAGCAGTAATGGTCAAAGCTCCATCCAACAGAAACATAGAGTTCACAGTGAGCATCATCAGATTGGCACTTGTATCATATAAAGTAAATTTGCAATAACAACACACTGAATCAACATTTAAATCATATAAATACCTCTAGAAGGTTATCACAGGTTGAATTTTCATTTCATTCTACTAAAATTTGTACATAGAGAATTTTAATTTTGAAATTCAAAAATTCAACTATGCATTCTCTATGCTTAAGCTAAGGAGCTCTTTTACAATAATATTTTGTCATCAAAAAGTAGCCATTAGATCAAATGGCTCCAACTTGAAATATAACTAGAAAGGACACAAAAGGTTTGGCTAGTTTCAGTTTAACTAAACTAAACTTGTGCAACTTGATGGCACTGATATATTGCTACTTCCACCAATGCTACTTCCACCAAAGCTGCTTCATGCAACTCTCATCACTCCTCCTTGACATCAAGGCTGCACATTCCAAGTTGTTCTCTTAATAGCTTAAACCTGGACTTCTATAACCTCTTTATAAAAATATCAACTATCTGCTTCTTTGAACTACAGGATTGGTATTCTAGTTATCATCAAATTCTTATTGTCCCAAAGGACCAAGAAAAAACAACATTTATTTGCTCATATGGTACTTTTGCTTTTAGACAAATGTCTTTTGGATTATGTAATGCCTCAGATACGCTCTAGAGATGTGTGATGTCTTTATTTGCTAAGTTTGTTGATGAGTTCATGAAAATTTTTATGGATGATTTTTTAGTTTTTGGCTCTTCATTTGATTCATGCTTATATAATCTGTCTAAGGTGCTTAGAAGATGTGAGGAAACTAACCTAGTATTGAATTGGGAGAAATGCTATTTTATGGTTAGGAAAGGTATTGTGCTAGGCCATAAGGTATCTTCCAAGGGTATTAAAGTGGATCGAGCCAAGGTTGAAATAATTGAAAAACTTGCTCCTTCTAAATCAATTAAAGAAGTTAGAGGTTTTCTTAGACATACATGTTTTTATAGGAGGTTTATTAAGGACTTTTCCAAAATTGCTAGGTCTCTTACTAATCTCTTGGTTAAGGAAACACCATTTTTCTTTGATGAGAATTGTATGAATGCTTTTCAATTGTTGGAAGAAAAACTGGTTAATGCTTCTATTGTTGTCGCACCTTGTTGGGACTTACCTTTTGAGATTATGTTTGATGCTAGCAACGATGCTTTAGGTGCAGTTCTAAGACAAAGATAAGAAATTTCACACCATTTATTATGCAAGTAGAACAATGAATGATGCTCAAAAAAATTACACTACTACTGAAAAAGAGTTGCTTGCTATGGTGTTTGCTTTTAAAAAGTTTAGGTCTTATCTAATTTTGTCCGAGGTAATTATTTATACTAATCATTCTATACTTAAATATCTGCTTGCTAAAAAGGATGACAAACTTAGGTTGTTGAGATGGATTTTGGTGCTACAAGAGTTTGACTTAGAAATTAGGGGTAAAAAAGGTATGGAAAATTCTATTGTTGATCATTTGTCCAGGTTAGATGAGGAGCATGTGAAATGTGGGGATGATCAACCTTTGCTTGATGAGTTTCTAGATGAGCAATTGTGTTTAATTTCTTTGTGTGCTCTTTCTTCTTTACCTTGGTATGCAGATTTTGTTAATTATCTTGTTAGTAATGTTTTACCTCCTAACTTATCTTTTCAACAAAAAAGGAAGTTCTTTTTTAATATTAAACATTATTTGTGGGAGGAACCATTTCTTTACAAGATATGTGGTGATGGAATGATTTGAAGATGTGTACCATAGGAAGAAGTAGATGCAATCCTAAGTTTTTGTCATGACAAAGAAGCTAGTGGTCATTTTGGTGCCTCCAAAACAACATTTAAGCTTTTGCAATGTGAATTTTATTGGCCTTCTTTATCTAAAGATGCTTATGCTTATGTGAGTGCATGTGACCAATGCCAAAGAACTGGTAATATTTCTAAGAGACATGAAATGCCTTTGACTAATATTTTAGTGTGTGAAATATTTGATGTTTGGGGCATTAGATTTCATGGGTCCTTTTTCTTTATCTTTTGGTAAGGAGTATATTTCTTGTTGTGGTAGATTATGTGAGTAAATGAGTAGAGGCTATTGCATGTCCTACTAATGATGCTAGGGCTATAATTAGTGATGAAGGCAAGCACTTTTGTAATAAACAATTTGCAAATTTATTGGTTAAATATGGTGTTACCCATAAAATTGCTACTCCATATCACCCTCAAACAAGTGGGTAAGTTGAGGTGTCTAATAGGGAATTAAAAAGAATTTTGGAAAAGACAGTTAGCTTGTCTAGGAAAGAATGATCACTTAACTTAAATGATGCACTTTGGGCTTATAAGACAACTTACAGAATTTCTATAGGTATGTCCCCTTATAGGTTAGTTTTTGGTCAAGCTAGTCACCTTCCCGTGGAACTTGAGCATAAGGCATATTGGGCTATTAAATATCTTAATTTTGATTTGAAAGATACAGGTGACAATAGAAAATCACGGTTGAATGAATTGGAAGAACTACGACATGGCACGTATGAAAATGCCACGATTTACAAGGAACGAACCAAGGCATGGCATGATCTACAAGTGAAAAAGAAAGATTTTCATGTGGGTGACAAGGTTCTTCTTTTCAATTCTCGATTGTGACTTTTTCCATGTAAGTTGAAATCACAATGGAGTGGTCCTTTTGTGGTGAACAAGGTCTTTCCTTAGGGAGCTATTGAGATTTCACGTGATACTAAGGGAACTTTTAAGGTGAATAAGTAGTGGTCGAAAATTTATGTTAAACGTGGTAGTTTTCCTGCATTTAACTCCACCATTTTATCAAAAGATCCTTGATAGTTTTGCATTGATAGTCAAGCTAATGACCATAAAGAAGTGCTTTATGGGAGGCAACCCATCAAAAAAAAAAAAAAGAACCAAAATAAATAAATAAATAAAAAAACAACAAATTGGTATTTATAGTTTAAGTTTTTTCTATTTTAGTTTTATACTAATTTTTGTTTAGTTGTTTTTTTTTTCTTTTATTCATTTTCTTTTTACTAATTTGCATTGGGTCTTTTTTGCTGGGTTAGCTTGTTCATTGCACTTACAACATCTTAGGCAACTACAATAAGATCCTTTGGCTATAAAGGAATTCATTGCATGGCTACTGCAAGAAGAGCAAAATAAAGTAGTATTGTTTTTCTTTTCTTACCTCTTTTTAACATAGCAGACAATGTTAATTTAAGTTTGGGGAGGATATTTTTGTGTTCTTTCTTTTGTTGTGTTTTTAAGATTTAGAGTATTGATGCATACATGTGAGTATAATTTTCTAGCATGGTATGATCAGCCGATACATATTTTGTTGCATAGATGTTACAAGTGAGGGATACTGTTCTTCATTGATGATTAATTCAAAATTTAGTAATATCTTGATGAGAGGAGTTGAGAGCTTTGATTTTATAATTGGCTATTTGGAAATTATATGCACCTTTTGAGCATGTGCCATTGTTTCTACGATAACTACCTCGTTTAATTATCCCTTGAAACTGCTACTGTCACACCTTAGAACCAAGAGTGAAACAGGCGTCGTACACTCGTGAAAGGATCCCACAAATGCACATGGCTCAGAACTTGCTAAATTCATAACTAACAATCTACATAAGCTTAGATCAATATCTCAAAACAAAATATAGCTTACAAAAGAATGATCTATATCTCAAAATCTATGTCCAAAATACAAGCGGCTAGCCTTTTAGCTCATCACTCCCTTTGGTTTCCCATATCTCTGGTCTCACTACTTGAAATGGTGGATGAGGAAAAACTATGTGAGATAACTTAGTAAATGAAAATATGGATAACCCTTATTTAAAATTAAAGCATGTCAAATAAATAATTTAAAACATAAACCGCAGGAAAAATTCAAATATAAACCATTAATGCAGAGTAAAACTCAATAGTGGTCACCTTAATTAGTCATAGTCAGTGTTTAACAAACTCCCACTAATAGGCGTCAGTAATAACCAATGTACTATCCCACTGGTAGGAATAATAGGAATACAGAATGAGCTAGTCCTATAGATATACATGTCGACATGTGCCAACATTTACAACTCCCACTGGCAGGCGTCAATAATCATGACCATATTGGAGATAAAATCATGTAGGAGTTCAACAAAAAAATCCATAATTTACAAACCAATTTCAAATTATTAGGATAATCAAGTAAAATTCATGTAGGCATGCTCAACTCAATAAAAATAATAACAATCTCATTTCAAACCAATCATGCTCATGTGCTAATAGAAATCAATTTAGGCCCTGCCACCATATCAAAAACAGTTCAAAATATGCTTTTAAAATCTTTACCTTAAAATCCAAGAACATTTACCATAATTTTACTTATCTCGCCTTGTAAGTATAGAACAAGCAAAGAATTCAAGAACTCAAGACGCTTGAGGTGATTTAGAATCGAAAAGTGCTAGAAGGAGGCAGCTTCCCCTTACATTGCACAAAAACCCAACATGGACCAGAAAAATTTGGGGAAGCAACAGCAAGATTTGATTTTTGGTGAGAAAGAGTTGAGCACAGGTTGGGGCTTGTGGAGAAAAAATTCTAGTGAGAGGTTGGAGGAACACGCAAAAATGGGCAAGGCGAAAAAGGAAATCAGCCTTAGCCCCTTTTATCACCAAATTTCACTTTTAACCCCCCCTTAGGTTTGTGAATTTTAACCATTAGGTCTAGCAATAATAATTTCTACCACATAAGTCTCTAACTTAAATTTATATTCACTTGTACTAGTGTATTCATGT